TGTTTTTTATTTGCTTGAGTCCTGCCGTGGCTCCATAAGCAAAGGTTAATGCAGGTCTGCCAGGGGCAGGCTGGAGTTAACACAGAAAGGCAGTTGTGAGGTTGCTGATTCTGATAAAAGCAAATTGTGAACTGCAAGCATCTGAGTGTTGAGTGTCACATTCACACCTAACTGCTGCCCTTGCCTGTTCCCCACAGTCATCCAGCTCTGTCATCATGATATGTTCCTGAAACCACATTTGTGCTGCTGTCACTTTTTGTCTTTGGAAATTTGTGTACAGGCTTTCTATAATGACATATTAAAAATGCCTGTAAACTTCAAATGAGTGGATTACAATATGTTTAACCCAGGCAAATCACTTCCATATATTAGGCAGAAACTTGAGTCTTTACTTCTAGTCTGCACTTGCAGTAGGGATGTTAATACTGATAAGGTTATAGGAGGCACCTGATAGGTGAGGGCAGTGAGGAGTTCGTTCCTTTCGTGAAAAAAATTAAAAAACGGGAACCTCTTTCTAGATCTCTGTGTCTTTCATGTCACAATGTTTCTAAAGAGAAGAGTCAGACATCTCCATAGGGTTGCCCATCTTCTCCACTTCCACCAGTCCTCTTTGACTGGGAACAAAGTTCTGACTATCAACAGAACCATGACATCTCTAGAGTATTTTTGTCTGTGTTTCAGTAGTGGGCAATGTCAACACTGTCAACATGTCAACAATTAGTGGCACAGATGTAGAAGATAACATGAGGACAGATTTTGAATGTCACACCCAGGCCCCTCCAGGGCTGGGAGCTGGGAGCACATCTGCCTAGAGACGCATCGGTGAGACAAGATCCTTGCAGCCCCCACTGAGTTCTGAACCCACTGCCATCCCTGCACTCCCTCCCACCTTACAGGTTATTTCCTAAAAGAGATTAATTGCACTTTTCTTCTTTGAAAGGCAGGATTTCCCAGCTCATGCTGAGTTTTTACATTCACACTTAATCTCTGGTTCACAATGAATAATGCACTCACCTGATGAAAAGGTGCAAATCTGAACCCAAACTACCCATAACTTGAAAAAATACCAGAAACAGCTGCCTAGCTACAGCATGACAGAATTTAGGACATGCCATGAAATCTACCCACAAAACCTATTAAACCAGCTTATGCTGAGTTTTTTGGTACTTACACTGCACTGTGGGATGTACTTCCAGCTGCCCCTGTTATGAGAACCTGTACTGGTGAGCTGAAAGCAGCTGATGGTACCAAAAGGTTCAGGGGAAAAAAAGAAAAATAAACCACAAAAAAACCCCAAGAAAAAACAAAGGATAAAAAAGACAAGGTTACTACACCAGATCTCTCTGGAAATAATTGCATTAAATATAGAAAAGGTTATATACCGTTCCCTTTGTCCTTTCCTCATAGGCTGCTGGCCTATGATTGTTTCTTGTACCTACCCTGTAGCTGATTTTATTGTTTATTCCTAGCTCCCCCTCCAGTTTGCTCGGGGCCCTGTGTCTTAGCGAGTGACTCCCTGCTCCCTTTCCAAGTTCAGAACCTTTCTGGCTAAAGTCTGCGGTGACACGTAACACAAAAAGACAGCTCTGGGCACAGGGCATGCAGCCGTTCCTGGAGAGTGCAGGCTGCGGTTCGGCAGTACCGTTTCTGGAAGATTAAGTGATTAAGCCTAACTAAAAGTGACTAACAGGGATGGATCTTTCCCTGTCAAACACACAAGGTTTTCCGAAGAGTGGCTCCAAGGTTGTGAGTGAAGGTGAACAGCTCTGCTTCTAAAGACTCCTTAATTTTAAGAAATTCAAAGAGCCGGCAGGACACTTTGTTCTGTGACTTTCTTAAACCTATACCCTACTTCACATCCCTTTCATGAGCCATCATCTTTCTTATTTAAAGCAGACATGACGGAAGTTTAAAAAAGACAGAAGAGATGAGAAGTACGAGTCTCTGCAGATATAAAGTATAATTTAGCAAAGTATTTTATCACCCAGTCCTGCCAGGTCCTCAACACGTTCTGCAGACACGGACTCCTCCACTCATCTTGTGAACCATGGGGAGAGGGAGCACTCCAGTCTTTCTGTTTGCAGAAAGCTCCCTGGTGTTGACTTTTCATACAGCTTTTGCATGCATATTTATATGGCTAAAGCCTTGAGAGTCTTCATGAATTGATTACTGTGTTTTGCAATAAACCATTATTTATTTAAGCATTCATATTGATTCATAAAACCCAAGTTCAGATCTTCTGATGAACATGGTATGAAAACACAGATAAAATAGGAAGATACAAAAGAATATGTTTTATTTACAGGTTTTGTATAAATACAGAAAACGGGATAGGATAAATAACCAAGTAATCACCAAACTGTTTTCATTAATAACTTATCAAACTAGTTTTATTTTTGAAAGCATCCAAAAGAAGCTAAAAGCTATGCAGGCAGCTGGTTGAATTTCTCCTGGAGGGTTTGAATGGGACTGTAGGCCGGTGCTGAATTTCACTCTTGTGAATAAATCCATGCGTTATCTTTTGGAAAGCAATATTTTTCAGTGTGGAATAAAGCCTATTTAGTAAATTATTATTTTTGTTTTTAAAACTAAATGACTCTTTATTAAAAAAGAGACCTACTGAAATTTGAATTTTCCTCATTACCTGAGGCATAATCAAATTGTCAGCTGTTTTACAAGGGTGGTAATGTGGAACAGAAGTGTGATAACATTTGCCATCATTCCAGCTGGTTACCCCCAAAAGACACCTTCTCATAACCTTCTCATCAGTGAACCCACACCATCTTAGAGAAGCATAAGTTACTGTTTAGAAGTGATCTGATAGTGAACATCACAGAATCATTAAGGTTGGGAAAGACCTCCAAAATCATCAATATGAGTTGTTAGATGTGTTCTATTTGGAAACAGCATCATTTGAAACACAAATTAAATGCTGATTTCTGGAAAAAAACCAAAAACGTATGAATTTGTCACTAATTTCACACTGTCAGTGCGACCAGGATTTTGCTACAGGAGTAGATCATGCTGTTTTCAGATTTCAGAGGTAAATACTCAACCATTTCATTTTACTGATGTAGAGAGAAAAAAAGCTGAGAATATTTCAAAAGTTTATAATGCTATAACAAGATACAGCAGCCAAAGAGACAGCTGGGCATTTTAAAGGTGAAAATAAAGTACATATGTTTACCAGGGGTTTCTTTGCAAAACCACTTATTAGGAACATTTTAAAATTGAGACTAGTTATTTCTTAGAAGTTTTACTCTACTTTGAGCAGGACTTAGTTCAAGGAATTTGCTAGCTTGTGCAGTGTAAGAAGTCAGAGTAGATGGGCTTAGGAGCTGTGACTCTATTTGTCTAACTATAATGGATCTATAAATTAATCAAACTGGATTGACCATAAGGGCAGTTTCCCAGTTAATGTTAATTAATTCTTAAATAAAATACATTATCAATCGCTATTTTTAAATATATTTAGATATAGAATAGTCTGTAATTAAGAGTCCAGACCTTTGAGCTTGACATTCTCAATCTACAGTGAACTGGGATGTAAACGGCAGTTCTCACACACTAGATGAGGCACTTGGTTAGATCCTGCTCTTATTACTTTAATTGGATACCTTAATTCCATCCCTGCAGCTCTACAGTTGGTCATGATCAACATCCAGCTCAGTTGTTGAGGGTGATAGCATACTTTTCAAGGACTGGACCTATTTTTCATTGCTCAGTCTTTCCTTGTGAAAACAGTGATGTTTTAACTAACTCAAGTAACGCTGGTCCAGAAAGATACATTACTTTTGCAGTGGATCCACTAATTTCAACATTTTACGATGGATGAGAATATCAGAGAAGTAAAAGATATGCAACTGGATATAAATTAGTTATGTGGAATAGCATATTGTTAGGGCCCTGAGGGTACAACCACGCCTTAATCTTCCTGACTAGCTTCCCTGTGGACTCCCACCCACCTTGTCTCCTGTTGCTCCTGGGACCTGGCAGGTCCCATTCCGGTTATCTATCTATGCCACATTCCGGTTATCTCTCTATCCAGGAGGCCACAACACCTGAGCTCGCTGTGACCTGAACTGCAAACCTGCTCAGGACTGAGGTGCCTTGATCTGGGAGGCCTTGCTGCTCCTCTCAGTGGCACTTTAACACCCCGGTGTGAAATAAATTTCAGATTACCCCACAACTTTTCATATTACCCCCATTAACTGTTCTACTACCGCAGTCAGTATATTCCTTGCTCACTCTGTTCCTCTAGAGTTCCAAAGGAGAAGCTTGCATGGATAACAAGCAGCTGCTGTGAAGATATTTAAAAGCTATTCCCTGAGATAACTATGATCTTCACAATATTACTGCACAGCAATGGAGCATGGAAGTATTTCTTGGTCCTTTGGCAGACAGAAATCTTCCGAATGTGATAAAACAAAACCAGCCACTTTCTCTGGCACAAGAAAATTTGTGGTTAGGCACGTAAGTTAAAAAAACAAACAACCAACCCTGAAAACCAAAAACAACAGCTCAACACAAATCTTAGAGGCTGGAGAAGGCCACTGGTGTGAAGGAGGAGAGCAAAATCACCTCAGTTGTACCTTTCTTCAAGTGAATACGCGTCGCTTCCCTGACTTCCCTGGGAACCGTATTAGGTGTCAATATTAAGGAGGGGGCTGTGAGGCCAGCGGGAGAGCCCCTTCCCGGATGCCCTCGCTGCCCGGGAGATCCGGCTGGGCCCGGGGGATGCTTCCACCGCACACAGCTCGGCGGGGACAGCGTGCCGGCGGCCCGGGCAGGGCTCGGGGCCGGAGCGGCGGGCAGGCCTCGGCGGGCGGCGGCGGCTCCCGGTGCGCAGCCGCCGGCGGGGCCCGCACCGCCCGGAGGAGGCGCTTCCCGCGGCGGGCGGGCGGCAGCGGCCCCGGGCGCCCGAGTGCCGGCGTGCGCGGCCCGGAGCGCAGCGCTGCCAGCCCGCCCGGCACCCCTGCCCTGCCCTGCCCGCGGCCGGGATGCGCTCGGAGGCGGCGCAGCAGCTGGGCGGCCTGGAGAGGTTCGCCAGCGCCGGCAAGGGCCGGGGGCTGCGGGCGCGGCGGCGCTTCGCCGTGGGGGAGCTGCTGTTCAGCTGCCCGGCCTATGTCGCCGTGCTGACCGTCAGCGAGCGCGGCGGCCACTGCGACGGCTGCTTCGCCAGGTAGGGCCCGGGCGGCGCCCGGAGGCCGCGGCTTCTGCGGGGCGGCGGCAGAACTTTCCCCCTCCTCGGCTCGTGGTGCTGCGGCAGCGTGGAAGTGTAAACTCAGAGCTGGTGCTCCGTGCTCAGCAGCTCAGGAAAGAGAAAGGAAAAGGAAAAAAAAACCAAACCAAAAGCCAACAACAAAAAACGTTCTGCTCTCCCCGTGTCCTGGCGGTCACGTAGACACGTGCGTAACCATCCTCTCGCAGCAAGTTTCATTGATCCGTCTAGTTTTGTGATAACTTCGTGCTCGCTGGTTTTAATGAAAGTTAGATAAGGGAGAAAGGGTCTGCAATCGCCTAATTCACACTTCACATTCCATAGAGCGGATAGAAAATCTATGAATGAAATGTATATATCACGGTTATGAAATACACAGAAAAATATCTGTATATTACCTCTGTCTGAAACCTTAGTCTGCAAATTACTTTTACTGGGGCGGAGCGCAGGCAATGCAAGAACTTGTTTGTTGCATGTCTGGGAGCATTGGGACTGGAGTGCTGCCTACTCCTGCTTGCTTCGGGATTCCTGGTGCTGGAGGGATGCGGGGGGCTCGAGTTTGCCAGGGCCTCTGCAGCTGCCTCCCCACCTGTGTGAAGGGGAGATACTCAAGTGTTTGATTCAAGCTTCTCAATATGAGTTGCTTCGGGGAAAAAAAAAACCCAAACGTATTAGGGTTAGCAAATTCAGCATGGATATGACACTCCGGCATGTCACACCACACCATATTTTTAGAAGGTGTAGTACTTTCATGACTTCTGACAGCTTACTGAAGAATTAAGTGCTTACCTGGTTATAACTCAGAGCAAATGTTAAGAGCTGCCTCAACAGCGAAAAACAACTGTTGTAACTGTGCTATATTTATCCATTCATCCTTTTTCTTTTCTCATTACCTTACCTACTTATGACTTGTTCACTTGATTTGCATTTATGTAACATACGTATCTTATATGCTTCCTAGTGAAGCCGGTGAAGCGAGTCCTATCAATTTGAAGGGTACAGTTGAGGTGATTTTCCTCACCTCCTTTACACCTTTTCCCAGCCTCTAAGGTTGGCGTTGAAGTATTATGTTTGGTTTTAGGGGTTTTTTTGTACCTAACTGCAAATTTCCCCTTGCCAAAGAAGCTGTCTGGTTTTGTTTATCATATTCAGATTTGTCTGACAAAAGACCAGGGAATAATTCCATACTTCACTGATTGGAAGTAATACTGTAAGGATAATAGTTATCTCACAGAATAGCTTTTAGTTATCTTCAGGAGCAGCTGCTTGTTATCCATGCAAGCCTCTCCTTTGGAGCTCTGGAGGAGCACAGCGATCAAGGAACAAACTGACTGCAGCAGGAAAGCAGTTAGTGGGGTAATCTGAAACTTATTTCACACCAGGGTGATGAAGTGCCACTAAGAGGAACGATGTCTCGGTGATGTAAGGTGATCCGCCAGTGCTCAGACATGTGTTCTGTGTCTGTGACTGTTGCATTAGCACTGAACTAGCACGTACTAGATTCCGAACTGTGCTGGTTGAGCTTGCAGAGAGCCCTCGGAGAAGGGCTGTGGGCTCAACACCAGGCGTGGAAGGAAAACTTGGTGAAGTTGTCATGAAAACTTTCATGGTAACATGGGCAGAATGAGGCTGTAATATTGTATTTGCATGAGATAGTGGTTGTTACTTTAAATACGATGTTGTAATGTCAGCAAGAGGAGTCATGATGTTAGCTTGGCTTGCTCATGTTGCACCTTGTGTGCTTTGCAAATACAATCAGAGGATGCCAGACTTGTTGGGTTTTATTGGCTTCAAATGGCAGTGACCACCAAAATGTTCTACACTGTCACATCATATGAGGACACTCACCCTTGATCCCTTGATTTACTCCAGTGAGCTTACATCAGTTTAAGACAATTTTTTTTTTTTTTTTTTTTGCTACTTACACCAGGGAGGGTGTACAGACATTTTAAAAGCATTCAGTACTGCTGAGAGATCCCTATTGCTGTCATAATCAAAATGTCACTTGTTGGGTAATACATGTTCTATTTTTGGTGGGCTCTGTTGCAACACATGCACTTTAAAGCAGAAAAGGACCTTCCTTGTGGCAGTTCCCTCTGTTGGGGTAATATCCAAATATAAAAAAGGAGAGTGTGAGCTTTAGGTCTGCTCAGAATGCAGAGATATCAGAGCAGACAGGGTGGGTCAGTAAGGTGCTCTCAGGTGACAGGAGATCAAACAGTATATAACACAGTATTTTTTCTTGGCTTTTGGAGGCACTTACTCAACCAAGGTGATGCATTCTGTAACCAAAGAAGCAGTAGAATGGTCACAGAAGAACCAAAGGGTTAATATTGGTGAACAAGTACACAGAGCAGTTTTAAAGTTTGCACAACACAATAAGTTTAGCACATTATGCATCGTATAGTGGCAAAAAATGATGCTATCTGTTAAATAGCATAGACTAATGTGTTTCCAAACCCAGTAATTTATCAAGAAAGCAGAGTGCTTTTGCATAATGAGAGTTGCTTGGAAAAGCATGCTTTTGAAAATGTAATACAGTTTTCATTGTGAAGTACAAAATACAGTGCAAAAAGTGATCCAGCATACAGTTTTATTTCATTCAGGTTTCTAGAACAGAATAACTTCTGTTTTCTTTTTAAGGAAAGAAGGATTGTCCAAGTGTGGAAGATGCAAACAGGCCTTTTACTGCAATGTGGAATGTCAGGTACGGTCATGCAATTTGTCAGGGTGGGGAGAAGGAGGGTGGGGGTTGCAGACCTCCAATTTTTGTTTATGTGTCATTGATATGTTCTAATTGTAGCTATGATTAATAGCAGTCCAGTCAGTTCCAGCATCCCACAGTTGCTGACCATGGAGATGTACATTGGACAATTACAGGTTTTTGACATGGTCTGCATGAGTCTTTAAAGATCAGTAGCTTCAGGGCTTGGTAATGCTGAGGCTTTGATTAGAGCTGCCTGTCAACCCACTAATTATGTCTGTATTACTTCTTCCTTTAAGGACAAACCAGATAATTTAGCATTAGCCTCACTAAACTGGTAAGAGATCCTGTGTCTACTGGAAAAAAAGGGAAATCACCAAACAGCCATCTTAGGGAAGAGAAAGAGAGGGTTTTTTTAGGATTTTTTTTCTTTTTATAATATTTGCAAATATTTGGAGATTTGGAGTATTGAGACTACCACAGCTGATGGTAGGCATAACCATTTGAATCTTACCAGGCTTTCTCCCTAACTTACTGTGGCAACTTTTATTCTTTTTGTGTATTTTGTTTTTTTAAAGGCCTCTGGATGTAGAATATAAGCACATACTAAAGTAGAGCAGTACAAAGATGTCCAAAATATTTTCATGCAGTTTTAACTCTATTTTTAATTCAAATTAGAGTAAGCACCTTAAAAATAAAAAAAATAAATTAAAAAAAAAAAAAAGACAGAATTAGAATCTAGCCTTTTTGGGCCCTCAGCTTGATGCAGAATTATCCAGTTTCTGTGTGGAAAAACTCAAGTGGGTTGCTAGTTGAATAACGTGAGCTATGCAAGGTCTGTGGTGCTGGGCACAGAGTGTGGAACAATGCTTATGAAGGATTTGAGTCACCCAGGGTCTGGCATGCAACTGTGTGTTAGCTATAAATAATCCAAACCTTCTCCCACATGTTAACGTGCTGTTGGCTGTGTGGGTGCATGCCAAGTAGTCTCGGTTGTCATTACCTGGACAGAGGTGTTGTGGTTTGTGCTGTTCAGTTCCCAGGCACTTGGACCTGGCTGCTGCTTTGACTTCAAGGATCTATCTCATTCTTCTGTTGCACAAGTTTCAAAAGACCTCAGTTTTCCTTGTATTACCTCCCCAGCTTCCTGCTTTCCCATAGAATTCAGGAGAGTTGTAGGTGAATCAAATAGCCTTTTGGTTTTGAGGCACCAGGAGAACTCAAAAGGCTTAACAGAAATGAGTTTTTTACAAAATTTGCAGTAGTTCATAAAATTTCCAAAGTGAACGCTTACTGTATGAGCATCCTTAAGGGTCTTGAGAGGAATCTGGATGAGCTCTAAAGACAGTGTAGAGAAAGCCTATGATTCGTTCATAAAAATGTTTGTTTCTAAGAAATGTTTCCTCATGTCATTATTTCTTACAAGCTTTTAACTAGATGAGGGAAGGAAATCCTTGAACAAAACAGCTGTTTAGCAGCTTTTATCTGAGACTGTGAGTTTCTTCTGTTACTATATAAAATGTACAACAGTTTATGAAACAGCTCTGCAAGATTTTTTGAAGTAGGAAAGCTCAGTAATTTGTGCTGGGAAAAATAGCAAGTAGATGTCATGTTGGAAGTAGAAGAACTTATTTCTTCTTATTCATGGTCCTTTGCTTTCATCACCAAGTGGCCCTGCCTCAGTGTCCTGGCTTCCAGCCCTGACAAAGTTTATACTTTCATGTTTACAAACAAGGAGGGAATTGTTTATTTAACTTTTTTTTTTTCCTTGGTAAAGTTTTGTGCATGTATTACATTTTTTAGATTGATTTTTTTTTTTTTAAATATTTTTTGATGGTCAGAATTCTCTCTCTCTAGAGGGACATGTTCCTAGAGTCAAAACTTGAACAGGTCAAACTGTGTATTCTTAAGTCTGCTAAAGCTGATGCTCAGCAAAAACTTGTTGGTCTGATAAGTTAGTGAACTAGAATCTTTCCTACCTGTTGGTGTATGGTATGATGCTCTAGATGTAAAGACCTTTTTTAGATTTTGTTGATGTCTAAACTATAGTTGGACATACACAGGTACTAGCACCTCGCTCTTGCTGTTGATATACATAATGGCTTTTAATTCCCTAGTTGTTATAATGCTCTTTTCCATCTTTTGGGCCCTTCTGAGTCAGTCTGATGAAATTTTTGAATGTTGCTGAGATTGAATTCTTTGACATTCTTTCAAAATTACCTTCAAGTGCAATATTCTCTAGAAACCAGTCTCCAGTAACTGTATGTGCTACACAGACAGTCTGCAATGCATCTTCATCCCTGCCTTGTTCAAAGGCACTTTTCAGCAGTTCAGCAATTCTTTGTCAAAGCCAAAAAGGATATTTGTGCCTTGATACTGAATTCGTAACACTGGAATATAGAAGTGTATCCCTTTTGCCTCCATGCATGTGAGACATCATGCGACAGTGGTAAAAGGCCAGGGCTGTACTTGAGAGCTGTCATGGTATTGTTCGTTTTTATTTTATAAGTTAATTTTTTCCCAGTAAATTCATATTTTTTTGTGCAGTTCAGCTAAAAATTGTATGTACCCAACAAGGGTGTGGTCTCATTTGATATGTTTGTTAGTACCTTGTTAGTCAATACAATTCAGTTAGACAAATGTTTTCCATGTAACATACTGGGGCATACTGGGATAAAAACCCAAAGCTTTTGAGCTTGCTCTTTTCTTACTTAAAGATGTCCTATATCACATTTCATGTGAATTCTTGTTCATTGTGGGGAGAGATGGATGTATGAGAGGTGGATCTATACACACACACACACACACACACACACACACACATGCACACACGCAGGCTTTGGCGCAGCTCCTTAGTGTTGCTGTTTTGGTCTCTTACTGTGCTTTTAGCATAGATAACCACATGTTTGGCCTATATTAAGCTGGATATTTGCGTAGGTGTGGATTCAGGGCACGTGAGAGTGGAAGTTGCCTTCACTGCCTGTCCTTACTGCTTTTAATGTTTTGTGGGTTGAATCTAGTTTGGGTTTCCTGGTCTTCCTTTTCCCAAGTGCTAATCCAGGTCTCCTTTTAAAAGGGGTTGTGATTTCCAGCAGATTCACACCATCCCACTCTCCAGTTTCACCTCCTTGGAGCACAGGCCTGTTATTGTAATAGTGCCTTTCAGCCCCCGACTGCAGCTGTTCAGGTCTTGACTTCTTAAATGATAATAATTTTAGTCAAGCAGGAGGAGACCTGCACTTGTTTTTTCTCCTTAGAAATTAGCTGCCTTAGAACCCTGAAGAGAAATGTTTTAAGAGGGTTATGTGGTTTCAGTTTTGGAACTGGTGAACTTGAACCGGCTACTGGAACTCCTTTTGCTGTTAGTACACATGGCTGTCATTTATCCCAGACAAGAGTGGAGATCAGCTAACCAGTGTGCAGAAGGAGATGTTTCTGTGGTGATTTTCAGCATTTGAAATATATCTTGAACAAACCATTTATGGGTTTTTCTTAGCCATGTTAAAGGCTGCTCTAGGTGGTATTGATGGAGTAAGTGAAACAGGTATTTTTAACCAGCTAGTAAGCCTCAAAATGTATTTGCACACCTGTAATTAGCGTTAAGCAGGTGTGTTTTAAATGGGACCTTGTAGAAATTGCCTGCTTCTCTTTGTTGAGCTGTAGAAAAAAATACAAATTTTTTTTCTGCAATGATTCTGCACAAAAGGATTTTGACACTGCAAGATTGTGTTGGATGTCTGGCCCCTATACAAAAACTTCCCCAATGTATTTTTCTTTGGTAAATGTCTCCTGTGAACATGTTAAACATTAACCCATGAAAATCAAATACCCTCTATAGCCCTGCTTTTGGTAAACAATCATAGGGAAGAATGGCTGCGAAAATATATAAAACTTCCACCTTCACTGCTTATTGAAAGGCTGTATCAGAGAACTTTGCCAATTAATATCAGACATCAGAAGTTACCTCACTGAAATCTAGTTAAGGAGTTGAATGCCATTTGGTCACAATTGGGCCTTAAGATTTTGAAGAAGTGAGCTTAACCCCTGCACTGGCTTGCTCATCATTTCTCTGTGCTATTTATATGTGTTTCTTTTTAATTGAGTGAAATAGAACAGGGTTTTTATGTGGTATTGAAAAAGTCCATGTGAAAAAGGAGGTATGAGGACATTTGTTTGGACTTGAGTCTTATTATTTTTAATATTATATTTTGTTACTTGTTTTTCTCCTACGGTGAGGTATAAGAGAATGTTCTGGGGATCAGTCCAGTAGTCCTGGATGGCAGAATCTTTTTGAAGAACTTGGTGAAGAGGAGTGTTCCCATGCTTTGATGTAAGAGGCATAAGCTTTAAAGAACTTCCCTTCCAAATATGTTGTCACTCCTAAATGAAGGGAAAAATATTGTGGATGTAATGAAAATAGGAAGAAAATATCATTAATGTAGCATTAGGGATTCAGCTAGAACAATGCAACTTGTTATAATTCAAATTACTTGGAGGAAAACGTGGAAAAGAATGCAAAATACAGTCCTGCTGTGATCGCAGGGAAAGCTGCTGTCATGGTGTTTCTATCCCAGGTATTACTCAGTCATCAGAACTCTTTTTTTTGTGGTGTTTCAGGCTTTTATCTCATTTTGCACAATTCAGCCGTATCTTGTCCCTTTAACCTCCCTACAGTTCATATAACTCAGTATGATTCTGCCTGGGGAAAGATTTTAATTAACGATCTGTAAAGAATAAAGGGACAAATGGATTTTTTTAAAAACACTGCTTTGAGACAGGCACATGATTTTGCATTTTGATTTTCTGTTTTATCGTGTAATTCCTCCTGTTTATTTAATGGGTGTGTATGGATGAGAGTCTTGCAAAGCTTCAGGTTCAGTGCCTTCACTTTTTGAACAATCATGCTAAAGTTAGTGGGTGTCCTGGGTAAACAAGAAAAGGTGAGAGATGAGATTTCCCTCTGTCTCTTTTTAGCCTTTAGCCTGTAGGTTCCTAAGCAAAGGCTGTCAGGAATTTTCCAGAAAAGGTTTTGGGGCACACATAGGAAATGGGTCTCTCTGGGGATGCATTTTGTAGTGTGACAGCTGTAGGAGAGTCGAGAGTGTAATTCCACATGACATGATTACAGTGTAATATACTATTTTGGTTCTGGTCTGTATTGCCACATCCTCTTAGAATATTTACACTGGAGCTTATTTCAAGCAGCCTGTATGTAGGTTTTTTTGGAAGTACCGGACTGAGATATCAAGGACAGCAAAGTTGACATTGTGAGGGGTTGAATACCCTTGCAGTGTTGCACTGCTTCAAATCCTACCCAAGGCTGGGGCAGGTGTTGACCTTTCTTTTCCTAATAAAATAACCTCCTAAAGCTGTCTGTGCCCAGGACAGTTAAAATGACTGTTTTCAATGGAAGAATTTTTAGTGTAGTAACTCTGAAATCAGTAATCTCGGCTTTTGTTTTGATCTGCAAACCCTGTAACTAAGCTGACCAGCCGAGGCAGGAGGCTCTGAGGGTCCTGATTCCCCTGACTGTTCACTGCTTTGGGTTGTTGCATTTAGCCTACAGCTGTAGTTCCCACAAGGAATCCATCTCCCAGTAGAACTGTAGCATATCTACCCATCCTGCTTCAGACGGCCTCCAGTGTGTCTCCCAAGTGTTTCAAATGGCTCTTGCCTTCAGTGGTTAGGCAGCTGAGGGAAATTGTTCCTTCTGTGCCACTCAGTCACTATGATGGGCCATATTGTTGGGTTTTTTAAATTATTTTTGAAAATTGGGGGTCAGTGGGCCAAGACAGGGTCTGCCGTACTGAGTGAATCACAGTAAGAGGATTTAAGAACATTCTGGAAGGTGCTAAAAGGTTATCAAGTCTTCACTTCAAAATTTGTGGGATTTGTTTTGAGTGTTTTTCTCTGCTAGTGTTTTCTACCAGTTTGAGACTGGTATGAAAAGAAAATTTGATGCTTCCTGTGCAGACTGAATACTACAGATCTGTTCTAACATAGTGCTATAAATGTGTGATTGGGATGAGATATAGCAATAAATAACTGTGCATTGCTTTAATATTTCCATGTGTAAATGAACTAATAATATGAAATTTGATGCAGTCTGAGGACAGCCTGTGCTAGTGCAGATTGTTAGTCTGTGATTCTATGCTATTCTTTGGAAGATTCTGTGGCCTTGGGTGCCATCACTCCTGTATGTCTGTTGAGCTAGGAATATGCTATATATTACCCAAACTAATCTGTATTTAACTAAAATATTCTGTAGATTGAAGTAAAATGTTTGTCTTTATTAGTGTGTTTTCATTGTCTAGCTGTACTTTTATTCTTCAACATTTAAGGAAAAAAAAAATTATCATTCCATCAGAATGTTTGACCTTATAGTCAAAGGATTCTTAGTGATTGTGAATCCATTGACTTCAGACACATTACTCCTAATTACACCAGGGTCACCTCATAATGAAGGGCCAAGATATTAAATGGAAATGAACCCAATAAAGTCATCAAGCTCAGACCTACAGCATCCTCATATGCTTGATCTGAACAATAAGAACTGGTGATTTATAAATCATGTTGTCTGTTTGTTTCTTCGTCATTTAATTATTTTTTTCCATTGAGTAAATGAAGATGTTCTGACCTCAGCTCATCCCTTGTGAATTTGTTTGAAATAAATTAGGACAGCTTTACCCCTTAAATAAGACTCAAGCTTTTGTTCAGACTTAGTAAGCAGCACCTTATTTTGTAAGGGAAACACATTTCACTTGACCTCTAGGATCTGGCAGGACTTGCTTCATCCCCTTTTTCATAAGTTTATCTCCATGTCACTTATTTTTATTTTTTTAAAATTACTTTTTTCTATGTTTTCAGAAAGAAGACTGGCCAATGCACAAGCTGGAATGTGCCTCCATGTGCGCTTTTGGGCAGAACTGGAATCCCTCAGAGACTGTGAGGCTAACAGCAAGGATTCTTGCCAAACAGGTGAGCTGAAGGCCTGGGAGGTTTTTGCCTGCTCTGGGTGCCAGGGAAGGCAGGAAAATCAAAATTGACTGGCAGTAACTGTCCCTGCAAAGGGCACACACACACACACATAAGTTTCCTGTGTACAGACAGGTGTAACACAGAGCTCAAGCAGCAGAATGAAGTGTCCATCAGACCACAGCAGCAGGGTCAGGCCCAACATAGTCCAGCTGGAGACTTCTGCAGTAAGCTAGCAAAAGGCTAGTGAGGTCTTCAGCTGTAACCTATGGCCAAGGTACTGCTGAACAGAGCCTGGAAATGTTTACTGATAGTTTCACATTGGTGTTTCAGCCTCTGTTGTGGTAGATTTGAGCTCTTGGTTACATGTGTGGGCAAGCACCAAGGCCACAGTGATGAAGAGGAAGAAGAAGAAGATTGTAATTGGGCTTAAATTCTAAGGAATGCTTCTAGAGTTATCTGGCTGCAGGCACTGATACCTTTATGAAGGAGTTGCCTGTTGTTGTATTTTTCAGCTACAGTTGCATAGTACTGTGTAGCATATAACTTCCAGTACATTTGTGAGTCAAAAACACCCCAGAGGTGTCCATTATGATTATGAGTTAGCTGGTGAAAACCGGAGTTTGAGAGAGAAATCTCAGACCCTTTGTCTTTGGAGAAAAAGAATATTGTGAGTAAGGAAAGAAGATTGCAATGTCAACCTCCATTTCAGTGTTCCTTAGCTATATGGATTCTAAGGATAACACAAGTGCTTACAGGGAGAGGATGGGATTCATGAGTTTCAAGGTTATTGTGCTGTGTATTTTTGTAGAGCTCTAAACTCTCTCTGCAAAAACAAATCCTCTTTGAAGCATATTTTTGTGATTGAGGTCTGCTTATGTGACAAGGGCAACCTGGATACTCTATGTAGGGAGGATTTTGGTGGCCTGCTGGGAAGGTAGCTACATCCTCACTGTGTGTGTAGATGTGTGTACGTGAATGTACATGTGTGTGACTTAATTAAAGTGTGGTTTGGTGGTGATCCACAAAGAAAATGGAATTGTTTAATGACAAAAAGTCGTTGGAGTAAATTTCTGCTTTCATCGCTTATGGGGAGGGGGGAGAACCCTATGTGTCATATAAAAGCTAAATATGCAAACCATAGTCCCTGAACCTCAGCTGCTGGGCCACCTGCAAAGCCATATTTAATGGCCAAGATTACAAAGAAGTGGCCTTAGGCCAACAGTGGAGCATTGCTTTTGAACTCTGTCAACAGTCAGTTTATTCACTTTCCTCAAAGCAAAGCCTGTCTTCTGCCTGCTTGCTATTGTTAGCAGCTTTCTGGGTGTCTAGAACAAAGCAAATGACATATTTAAAGTACTGTTCAGTTTATGTATATAAATTTGATAGGAGTTCATCTTTGGCTGCCTAATTTGGTGTGGAGAGACTATTTCTATGCCTTTACTTAGGGCAGTCAATTTAACTCATTGCTGTTCATCAACTCTTGTAAATTCCATAGACTGTGGATTTGGGTTTATCTTACAGGTAGGAGTTCCCAAATTCTGAATGAGTACACAAAATTGCCGAAGTGAAACATTAAAATGTTTTCTTATTTTTTTTTCCCTTGTTGTTAGAAAACTCACCCAGAAAGAACGCAGTCAGAGAGGCTGTTTGCTGTAAAGGAGTTTGAATCACGTAAGTAAAAAATGCTTGCAGGTAAACAGAGGTTTTGACTATTAATGATTTGTTTTGCCATAGCTCCCCTCCATCAACACCTTTCAGAACATCCTGCTCATGCTGGAAGAAAGAAGTAAACAAAGAGAATTGTGGTTCCTCATTTTTTTGAAAGTGCAGTGTTCTTTCTCTTTTTTTCTTTTCTTGGCTGTTTGTGGGAGCTGTGAAACAAGGATGAAAACCTAGACAGAGTTAATTATGTAGCATACATCCATCTCTTGCTTCTATGGTATTCTAGTTTCTTTTGAGAATTGTAATATTGTAAAATTAAAATAGCTGGTATTTGTTACCAGGAGGCATAAAATCAGAGACAGCACAGTTGCTTGATGGTGACAGTGACTAAGGGGCTAATTGCAGAACCCTCTGGACTGTGCTTCAGTATCTGTCACTGCCAGTCAAATCTGACATGTTATATATGATTCCATGTCCTAAATGCTTTAAAATAATCCAAAGAAGGAGCTAAAGCAATGGCTTGCTTTTAACTGTAAAGCAGCTGCTTACATCCAATAGGGCCGAGTTAGAAACTGACCATTAGCAGCCATCCTGACACAGTTGTCACCAGTCTTGTTTTCTTTCTTGGTGCTGAGCATAATATACACAGAGGCAACGGGTTGTATAGTCACATTACTCACTCTGATGGCTTCCAAAACCTTTTACAAAATGCTGAATAAATGCTGGGACTTGAGGTACCAGAGTAACCAAGCACAGTGGTCTTATTTGCTTCCTGAACAAAAGCTCCTGTCATTACTTTTGGGACAACTGGGGGAGCAAGGGGGGAAAATGCCACCATTTAACTTTGCCTAGGGCAAGGATAGTTCTACAGGTAAGTTGGCAGGATTGAGGCTGAGGAGAATGGATAAGTGCTGAAGTAATTTCTGTGTATTCTTCTGCATTGCAGCTTATCTTCAATAATTTATTAATTTGGGAGATAAAAGACTGATTTTTTTTTTTTCTGTTGCAGTGTCCCACTTGTGCTCTAGAAGCGTTTGTTTTGTTAGCAAGCACCCCAGTTCCTACTGCCTTTTTGACTCACCTCACTGCTTAGCACCTTTATCATTGTCTTAAGCTTTGCAACACCACACACAGGACAGGAAAAGGTACCTGGCTGTCAGTTGGAAGCTCGGAATTTCTTATTTGTCTTAATTCTCATCAAATGGTCCTATTTCATTTTCCTCAGTGTGTCTTATGACTCCCCCATCATTAACATCTGCTCTGACATGTAATTTCCTCCTTCTTCCACTGTTGTGCAGCCTTTTCTCTCCATTATTATTTTGAGTTGGGGAGAGCAGGGGAGAGCTAGTAACACTGCCATTGTGTGAGAGTGGGTTAGGAAAAAACTCCCAGCCACTCTGCTCTTGAGGGAAGAGAGAGGGGAGCAGAAGTATATGGTTGATCATCTAGCTTACTCTGCATGGGCCAGGTAGGGAAAGGTTTAGTGGCCGTGGCATTGACTAGAACTTGTCATGGGCCTGAGAGTAAATCTCCAAAGAAACACATAATGGAATACAGTTAGCAGGTGTGCCAGGACATTTCCACTGATATTCCTGCTGTCTCCTATTAGTAGATATCTGTAAACTAAACGCATCTCTAGCCCATAGAGATATGGGCACTTTCAGGCACTGTTTGCTACCTCCTGAAGCAGGTACCTGCAATAAGTCAGGTGGATTGCATTCCTGGGCACCCTTATGTAATTCTCCTCTTGCTGCAAAAGGAACCCCCGTAACGAGCCCCAGTATTGTTGCTAGATGTGTGGCCACAAATAGTTAGGGCTTCTGTGTTAGGAAAGACCACATCTTTTAAAAGCAGCAGGGATAAGCAGCCTTAGCAGCAGTTTGGGCTGGTTTGTGAGAATAAGGAATAGGTCTGTATGAGAAAGTTTCATTATATAGAGCATGCTTTCAGGTGAGTGATGTTTAGTGTGAGTTCATGCCCCACTAGATGGGATCATATAGCTCGTAAGGGTGTGTCAGACAGCTGAGGACAGCTATCCCCTGTTGATAGACTTCCAGAGAGCCAGGGCTGGCTGGGCTGTTTGCTAGAGTTAACAAATGCACTTTAAAGACTACAGCCCTTCTCCCAAGAAAGTAAAGTCTGTGTCCAGTTACCTGCTAACCTAAAGATGTTAGAAAATGCTTTTTAATCTCTTATGTTGGGCATGGGTTGGACTCAATGGTCTTGAAGGTCTCTTCCAACCTAGTGATTCTGTGGTTCTGTGTCCTTGTAGCGCATGTGTGGCTTTAGCAGAGGCAATGTTATGTTTGTGGAAGAGCCGGCACTTCTTGCAGTACTTCCAAGTGGCTTGTCCCTCAGGGGTTTCTGTTAAACTCTGGGCCTCTTCTAACATAAGTCTACCTGGAGGGGTTTTCCTGTTACTGAAATGGAATTTTTTTTTTGTCCACAGACCTTGACAAACTAGACAATGAAAAGAGAGAGCTGATTCAGAACGACATTGCTGCTCTTCATCACTTTTACTCAAAGCACTTGGACTACCCTGACAATGCTGCTCTTGTAGTTCTCTTTGCACAAGTAAGTTGGATAGAACACAGCCTGCTTAGGTGGATGGTGCTGTAGGAGTTTGGCCTTTCTGAAAGGGGGAGCATGTTAATGGCAATGGAAAGGGTAGCTCTTTGCTTATCTTAGGGACAGATGACTATACTTGATGGAGATGTGCTTCATTGAGCCATAGTGGCTGGATGTGCCCCACTTCCATCCTGAGGGGCGAGACTCTTGTCTGCAAACTTTCCCACTGAAGAAAAGGGGAAACATCACTTTTAATAAACTCTGTCAAAGTTAAGCTTCTTGTCGGCCAAACAGTGTGGCTGTTGTTGAAATAACATGGAAGACTGCTGGCCTGAGACCCTGCAGAGACAAATCCTTCATTCAGGCTTCAAACTTGTGGAAATTCTTGCTGGTCAGGTCATCATTGTGTTTGACCTTCACAGGGAGTAAACTTCAGAGACGTAAAAAGAGCAGCAGAAAGCGCAGCGTAAAACTTTTATCTGGTGTGTGGCTTTTAAATGTAGTCAGGTGGTTTGGCCATCTGGAGAGATGAAGGAAAGACAGGATGTCTTGTTAGATAACTTCTGATATGTCACTACTTTTTTCTCATCTACTTTTCATATGCATCTGAATTGAATGTATTGTAGTGGATGGAATAATACACCCGTGAAATACTGAAAGATTAATTTTCTTCTTTTTCCTCTTTTGCTTCAATATAAGCTAGTTTTGTACTTAAGTTTCTAAGTAAAATAATATCTTAAGGTGGGGGCAAATGTTGACTTCTGTGATGAAATCTGAGATGGAAATATCCTGTTTGGTAAAGCTGGGCATCTACCAACAAGGAACACAGTTACTATTTCCTTAATAGCGAGGTACTCTTAATCTTTAAAGGAATGATTCTTTAGGATGTTTAGCATATGCTTATCATCCCTTGTGTTGTTTCTAATTATACATTTCCTTTCAATGACAAGGGGTTTTTCCTCTTTTGAAGACTTTAACATTTATATTTGTCAGAGGGATACTTTCAAGATGTTAGTACAACCAGTTTCTTGTGGTATTTCTGAATATTTTTGTTAGAATGTAACCAGAATTCCCCAAGGAATTCATTATTTTGGCTATGATTACTTTTGATCCATGTCCTGTCCAAGAGCAGCTCCATCAGATTGTGATACTTTAACTGGCTTCTGTGAGCTGCTGACTCCCTGATACTGTATTCCATCCAGTCTTCTCTATGGATGTCACCCACAGATGTTACCTTAAAGCTCATCCTGATCAGCAGGTAACTCTCTGCCACTGTGGACATTTTTTGAACTAAAATCTCCAGAAGTCATGTGGACGCTTCTCAGAAGTGTTTTACAGGATGCAACCTTCTGAGGTGTTGGTCCCAGGATAAATCTTTCCAGAAGAAAGGGAGATATGCTTGTACTTGAGCTGTACAAACATGTTTCCTAATAATTAGTTAAAATTACCTAAAACCAGTAGTATGGATATGCTGCTGCTGCTTTGTTTTCCCTCAACACTTACTCTGGCCTTGTGTGGTCTATTTTGCTCCTCCATCCCCCATTGGTTCTCCCTGTGGTTCAGGGCAGTCATTTGGGACGTGAATACTTCTGACTCCTCACTGCTTTTAGTGAACTTTGCCTGATGCTCTTCCTTACACAGCTGAAGTCTAAGTCGTCCTTTTGAGTGGAATAGAGTTCTTTCATCCGAAGTCCTTGCTTTTCACTGCTCTCTTCTCCAGCTGTTGGCATCATTCTACTCTCTTTTGTCTCCATCGAATATAGCTCTTGAGGCTGGAGCTTTTCTTCCTCAGTCTCACCTTGTCATACTCTTCAAACAGTTTCTCTCTTGCCTCAAGTTCCAGCATCTCACCCTTTCCTTGAAGACCTTGCATTTAGTGCCTCCCTTTGCACATTCTGTTTTCCACCATTGGGAACAACCTTGAACTCCAGTTTTATTGCTGTCATCTCTTCACTCCCTCCACTTTGCCTGTTTTTAGTCCTGCATTCTGGTGAAACCAGTGATATCTCATTCTATCTAATCCCTCCTCTTGTGTCATTTCTAATATGATACTTTCATGAAGTGTGTTGTCTCTGGCTTAGTGGAGGGGAGTTGATGATAACTCAATACATATTTTTAAGTAGTTCCCCGTGATTCAGAACCATCAAGCTGCTCTTTGTCAGCCTTTGTAGTCTTATGGTCTTACTTGCTGTTGAAATTTGCTTTCCCTTTTATTGTTTTTGCATTCAGCAATTACATTTTGGTGTTGGTTCAGGTATGCTCTTACACTGGCCAGTGCAGTAGCATGCCCATCTTGAGAGACTGGGAACCTTTGGGTGCTATATTGCTAAAAATAACAAGATAAAGATTAAGCAAAGATAGCAGAGATACTGATGAGTGAATCGGGATACTTGCCCTAATTGTCAACTCACGCTGAACAGTTCATGCCTGAGGAGTGGCTTTGGGTATTTGTGTATTTCTAAAAGCCAGTCCAGGCTGCATTCCAGCTTGTGGGGTATATCACTTTGCTTGGTCAGCAACCTGGTCTACTGGAAGAAGTCTCTGCCTCTGGGGATTGGAGAAAAAACAATCCAAAGATTGGAACTCAATCTTTACAGTCCCTGCCAACACAAACCATTCAATAGTTCTGTGATTATTGTTGGTAGTATTTGTTGTCAGCTCTTACCCTTTCCAAAACAATATAATATTGCAAAATTTTAAAATTCAAAACTGCACTATACTTGATTGTCTGTTCCTGTGCCCTTTCTAGCTTTAACTGGACTTGGCCACATTGTTTTAGTGAGTGGTTGTTTTAGTGCATTACTGGTGCTTTTTTCATGTTTGTAGGGAGATAATGGTGAATGTGGAGAAGGTTCTCTTTGTGTTGGTATGTATGTGATTTGAAGTGGAAGTGGAATAAAGTACTTGACTGAGGCACATTTTGGCCACTTAAAGTCATACAAACCACATGAAAAAAGCTGAAACTTTTATAAGATTCCTTTGACTTGGATGAGAACAAAAGTGAGAAGGTTTTAAAACTTGCTTGAATCTATTCTATAAGAGAGTTTTATGAACAAGTTCTTTTGATCCTATGTCTGTTTAAATTAGGAATACACTTCCTCTCATACTCTGTCCTTTTTCTGTCCCCTCCTAGTCTATGTCTTTATGAGGTTCAAGTCTTTCTCAGTGCTTTTGTTGTTTTCACATGTGCTTTAGCTGTAGCTGATATGTGCAGTCTTTGATGACAGGTGCCATTGTGGCAAGTCTCTGACATGTGCTCCATCAAAGCTCTGCACTGCCCCAGCCTGGCTGAGTTTGCTGCCCTTCATTCCCACATTGCTCCTTGCATGTGTAGTTCTGCTTTGGCCCTCCCCTTGTCATGGCCCAATGAAGTCTTTTTGCCCCATGTTGGGGTGAGATATTTTGTGTTCTTTTTGAGCTCCACTTCTCCTGGTTGGCCCTCCAAGGAGCAATTCACTAGATGTGTCATGGGCAGGTGCAAGTGTTGGACTGTCATTTTTTTAGTGTCCTGTGCATTCCTTTGGAGAGGGACTTTGTCCTCATTTCACTTGTTGAGATGTCATGGAGCTCCCTGTGAGTCTGGGAGAGGAGGATGGAAAATTGTAAGCAAATTTCTGCAGTTGTGTTTGATGCATGAGAATGTGACATGTAAGTACATGTGGACTACTCAGCTGACCAGAAGCTGATCCAGCACCTTTCTCTTTTTTCTTAGGTTAACTGTAATGGCTTCACAATTGAAGATGAAGAACTCTCCCATTTGGGATCAGCCATATTTCCCGAGTAGGTCGATTTTAAAATATAAAATATTTTAAAAGATAAAATTAACTTATTTAAAAACAAATAGAGGAAATAGATATCTACCAAAGGAATTAATTTATCTTGTTTTGAATATCTTTAATTGGCTAATGTGGCAAATTATTTGCAGCAGTTTTCCTTAAAAATCCAGTAATTTTGGTAAAATTGCACATGTAATTTGTTTTGAAACTTAGGTTGTGAACTATTTTCAGGTTGATAAAAAAACACTTGGGTAGCAGGTTCTGGACAGGGACATCAAGTAATGATCAAAGCCCAATGAAAAGGATTGCAGGTGACTTGATTTATTCACCACTTTCTGTTTTGGCTGGTTATAATCCTTCCCCTGGTGCTCTCTGAACATTGTCCCTTCTCTACCTTTGTTCCTTGGCAAATAGTAAATCCCTCTCATGGCTTCTTTGAGCCTCCTTGCTATGACAGTGAAAAAAAAAAAGTGTACACGCTTCTTAGCTTTACAAATAAACTACAGATATTAAGTATTAACTGCAGTTGGTGAACAGGGGACTACAGCTTTCTGTAGGGCCAAGGATCATTTCTTGCATTTTTAAATCTGTCCTTCCCACTTAATATTGTAGCAGAGGAGGGTATTTTTTGCCCCTGATCTCTGCACAGTCTGTATGAAGGTATTAGCACTGAGGCTTAGTTTGACTTCCTGGTGAGGCTTGGATTACTCATAGTTTATGTGTGTCAAAGTAACCTGAAACTTACAGATGCCCACTTAAAGCTGGATATAATTTTGCCAAGTGCTGCAGACAAGCAGCAGTAGCTAGTCGTTGCTTCACAGATTATTCTTCTTCTTCAGGCAGGTCTGTCTGTAGTTCATATCCCTGATCCAGAGACTGGAAATTAGTGCCTTGAAATACCCAGGATCAGAGTCATTGTGGGAAGAGGAGAGTATTAAACCAGGATGTTCTGGAAAAATGTCCAACACCATCCTTTATAAATGCTCAGGATACACAAGTCAGATCTTTCCTATTTAAGAGTTATGCATGTGAGCTAAAAATACTGAAGAGACAGTTGTTATTTTGCTAGATTGGAAGAGAAAGAATTGAAATTACAAATTTTATCTCAGATGAACAGTGAACTGCACATTCTCTGTGCTTGCTAAATAAGGGGGTTTACTTTTCTCTATCCGTCCAGGTTTTTGTCCAGGTCATGTGCTTGTATAAAAGACAGAGCTCTCCCTCCCACTTCAAACATGGAGGCTGTTTACATTTGAATAGAAGCCAGCTAAAATTTTAACAGCCATCTTAACTTGGAATGCAGCAAAGACTTCAGTTTTCCTGTATTTACTTGTTTCCTTTTAGGTTAAACATGTTTTTCTTTCTTCTCTGAGGAAAATAGCCTGTCTATCATGTTGATAGTAAAGATACATGAACATACCTGTCAGCTGTCCTTTAGCACTGTAAGAAGGGGAAAATAATAACTTGCCTAGTTCTGCAGTAATAGGATTTAAAAATTGTAATGATTCATTAGCACAGCCATTCTCCATATCATTAGAATAAATAACAGTGCAACAGATTTTCCCAAGGTTACCTTCATGTTAAGCCTCAGAATAAAAACAGGTTAGAGAAACAGACTGATTTAATCTTTCAGACTTACTTATTTTGTGAAGTGGTGCTTAACTTTTTGCCTGTTGCTTGTGGTGGTTGTTAGGGAAAACATTTTCTTTTCTACTTTTACAGTGTTGCATTGATGAACCATAGCTGTTGCCCAAATGTGATTGTGACTTACAAGGGAACCTTGGCTGAAGTCAGAGCTGTTAGAGAGATTGAGCCTGGAGATGAGGTAAATGCAGTGTTTGAATGTGTTCTGTTCTTGTGCAACCTAACAGGATTCATTCTGCTTCTCAGGGATCCTTTCAACTAGATGGCAACTTAGTAACAGGAAGGAAGGATCTCTTGTTTCTCAGAGAAATGCAAGATGGTGCTTTGGAAAAATTGGGGTGATTCTGGAGGATTGATGGGATTTTTGGAGACAGTACCCTATTTTTTGCTAGAAATTGGGAAAGGCACCTGCAGCAGTCACTGTGTATTTGCCAGCCTCTCTCTCAGTTTACCCATCTGTAAAATGAGGCTGAGTTTACTGATGTTTGGCTGGTGCTTTGAAATTTCAAGATCAAAGCAAATTATTACTGCTATAATAGTTCCCAGTATAATAGTAATGTGTTGAAATTGAAGCCAGAATAAATGAGGTAAATGGGTACAGATAAGTCCTCTGACTTCTGTTTGGACAGAGCATCCACAGAACATGGGACTTGGTCGTATCACCTGAATAGCATTTGCTGGGAAATCACAGAAGAACAAACGTGTGGTTTTAGGTGGGGTGAAACTGAACAGAGAAGAATAAAAATCTGTGAAATTGAATAAGGTTCTGGGTTTACCTTGAAACTTTCTCAATCAAATAATGAATTTGGCAGAGAGTTTTAAACAGTAGAGCTGCACTTTACTTTAAAAAGAAAACAACAAAAAGATGTTAAACTGAGTTGGGGAGGATGTTCAAATACCTGGAGGGAATGAAGATACTGAACATCCTCTCTGGGGATGGAGCTCGAACAGAATTTCAATGGCTCTATTGTAAATGTTAATTTAATGGGCAAAGAAAAGCTGATAAGCTCAGATTTGATTTTTGATAACATCTATTGTTTTCTCAGGTGTGTGATAGCAGCCTGGAAGAAAGGTAGAGAGGTTATTTTTGTGGATTATAGCTGTTCCCCCTTGTGAGCAAAGTGAGTTTAGTTGCTGTAGCCAAGGGTGAATGACTCAGGTGAGCAACTTCTTTTGATGCCATTTGCCAGCAATGATTTGTCTGTGATGTTGGCAGTCACTGCAAATGCATTGTGGTAACAGACAAGGACTGATTCTGGCTGCAGAATTTTGTTGTGGAATCCCAGACATTTTCAGCATTTTGGGGGAAGGTGTATCATTAGAGGTAGAGATGTGGAGTATTTACCTTCTTCAGGCATCTTCTTCAGGTTTGATTCTGTCTTCGAAGCTGCATCAGGTCTCCAGGACCTCACAGGTTTTGCACATTCGCTTTTCTGATACTTCAGAATTTTCTAAACGTGAGCTGTGGCTGTGTGTGGTCGCTGTGCAGTCTCCCAGCCTGTGTCTCCATCTTCAGGCTCCGTGTAGCCATTGCAGGGCAACATTTTAAAGTTTCTTTTGCTCTAAATGTGGTTCCTGCGTTCCGCATGCTTTGAAAATATCGAAGGGAGGAGAGGAGTGTGAGGGAAAGTGTGAGATAACATGCTCACACTTAAGAAGGTGCACTGTATGAAATTACATGTAATTTTACTTCTAAAGAAAAGAGAGGCTTTAAGTATAAAGACTGAGCAAAGCATTTCAAATAACTATAAATGAGGAAATGGAGCTAAAGCTGTTCCTTGGTCTGCAGAATGATCAACTGCGCTGTGCATAGGACTTGTTTCTTGGGGGGAGATCTCGTTTTAAAAGCAGAGTATTAAAGCTAGTTGCAGGGGTTCTTTTCTGAAGACCATTGAAATAGAGGAAAACTTAAGAATAGTGTATATGAAGGGCCTTTAAAATGTTCAAAAGCAGGTTTTCTTTGCTTTAAAATATTGCTGCTGAAGTAAATCTGATATTCATTCTCCTTGAACTGGAGCACTGGGCCTCTCTTTTTTTCAGAGATCTAAAGGTCTTGTCCTAAGTTTCTAAAGCTACTAGTGACTGCTGTTGCCCCAATTTTTGTAGGTTTTCAGAAAGAAAAATTTGAGATTCCAGCCTCTAAAAAAACCAGGCCACTGTAATTTATCCTAAGCTGGATACCTGAAATCATTATTTTACTTCTGAAAAGTAGGCATCTCTTTGTAGTCTGACAGGAGCCTGAGATTTATGCTGTGATAGTTTCCTTATCCACACCTGAATCTTGCTGTCCTGGGTGCAAGCCAGGGTAATATTTTGGGGAAATTCCATAACAGATAGGAAAGGAACCTCTGTCAGGTTACATTCACAAGTGACAACTCCTGATGCTGCCAAAGGGCTCGGAATTTGAGGGAGCCGGCAGGTGATGTGGCTGCAGGGGTCCACAAGCTGCATGAATATAGTTGTCATGCTACATATATCAGAACTAGTATAATAAATATGTTTAGTGATGCTGCTTCTCACTAACTGCTGTTTTGGGGTTTTTTTACCATGTAGATTTTCAGCAGCTATATTGACCTGCTGTATCCCACGGAAGACAGAAATGACCGGTTAAGAGACTCCTATTTCTTTAGTTGTGATTGCAGGGAGTGCACTACAAAAGAAAAGGTAATGGAATTGGTGTGGAATATACTTCTGACTGTCAAGGCACCTACCCATGTCCTTAGACGCAAAATCCTATCTGGCTTAATTACATTTTGGAAAGGAGGAAAGTAGCGGGAGGTGGTTGTTTTTCTGTCTTTCTGTCCAGAATGCTTTCTGATAGTCATTCTTTCCATTGTAATCATGACACATCAGGAAATTTCCTGGTAGAAGCCTATTTAAAGTTGAGCTACAAAGCAAAAATGAGAACATTGTTGAAAGTAGATAATTATACTGTGCCTACGCTACACAAATTTAGCTCAGAACTTTTTTTTTAACTTCATACTATCAACTCCTAGCTAGTAAATCTTGCTTGGGGCATTTCTGGGGGACAGTGCTGCTGCACTTCCTGGTTGGGATGGGACATTTCAGTCAATTCCAGGGGACATTGTATGGAATGTCTGGGATGGTTTGGAAACCCAGCAGAGTTTGAGGAATGCCCTTTTGTACAATATCATCATATTGGTCTGCTCAGGGACAGTGTGGTCCTGGGTCACAGCCCTTTGTGATGTGCAAGCCAGAATTGTGTTCATTAAACATGAGCTGGGCCCCTTCAAAAGACAAAGGAAGATCCAGACAATATTCCTGAAAACAGGGTGTTAGGTGTTTTAAAGAAAAGCACTTCTTGGAGGGAAAAGGTACCCAAACCCAACAGATACTGAGACAGCTGTGCCTGTGAAACCATTTGGACCTCCTTCACTGAAGGTCCTACAAGAATTGAGCTCTGTGTTAGCTTGTCTGTCATTCCAGACAAGATCAGTGTGTCTTAATCTAATTCTTAAGTTCCAGATCATTTGTCCTCCCGTTTTCACTAGGTATCCTTTTAAAAGCTGCTTCCCACATTGACCAGACAACCATCTCTTTCCCCTAAATGGTGTCATCTTTTGTGATTTTTTTTTTTCCAAATAGTACCCAGTATTGTTGCTTGAAGCTGTTCTGTTGATACCATATCAGTTACGTTTCCCCCCACAGTTACCTTGATAATTTTGCTACTGAGTTTAATGAAGCCATGATTTAATCTGTGATTTTCAACAATGTGCTACTCTGGGAGTCACCTGTCAATCAGCCTCCTTCAGTTCTGGAAAGTGTCCCTGTAGCTCTCTCAGCTGGCAGATTAAATAATAAAAGAAAAAGAAATCTAGCAACAATGTGAAGCTTAAACAGCAAAAGATTGTCTCTAGATTGCAGCTGACTCTTTATGAAATGGTATGTTAGATACAGGGATAAGTGGAGCTGTCCAGTAGAAATAACAAAATATATGGAAATGTGGTTTTGTCTGTAGATTGGAAGGATTCTTTTCTGTCTTTAAGATGACGTCATTTTCCACAGAGACATCAATTGGTAGTCCAGCCTAAGGTACTTGAGCTGTTATAGCCTTAAAACTAAGGCTAAATTTGTTTTAAACCCTAATCTCTTGGAACCATTGAAATTTCTTATGTAAAACTGCTTGCAATACAAAATCAAAAAGCTCTTCAATCTCTCAAAAGAAAGTGACTTCATGGAAGTAGAGAATGGCAGATGAACTGGAGGGCCAGGGGACCCTAGGATTTCTAGCCAAGGCTTTAGAGAAAAATTGCAGGTGCACACTCTACCTTTGTTTTTTCATTCTTTGAAGAGCTTAAGTTCACATCTGCGTCTTTTTATTAGAGAAATTTTGTATAGCAGGTGCACTTTTATTTGTAGAGCTTGGAACCTGCCTTTGTAAGGTCCATTGTGTTTTCTTCAGGATAAAGAGAAACTGGAAATCTGCAAGCTGAATGATCCTCCGTCAGCAGAGACAGTAAAAGACATGATCAAATATGCCAGGAACGTGATTGAGGAATTCAGGCGAGCCAAACACTACAAATATATCCTTTGTCTTACCCTGACTCCACTGATGTGTGACCTAAAAATCTTGCCTGCTGAACTTCAGAAGTACATGCAGGAGAAATACTGTGACCAGTAGAAATTAAACTTCTCTGTCCTCTTTGTGTCAGAAGGTAGCATCAGGTAGTCATATAGTGACAGGCCATCAATTCATTGCATTCCTTGACTTCTTCCTACCCCCTAGTGAATTACTGGAGATCTGTGAACTCAGCCTGGACAAGATGGGTGCAGTGTTTGAAGACAGTAATGTTTATATGTTACATATGATGTACCAGGCCATGGGTGTCTGTCTCTACGTGCAGGATTGGGAAGGTGCGCTGTGTTATGGGCAAAAAATTATCAGACCCTACAGGTAAATATGAGAGACTATTTCTTTTCTTAATGCTCTAATTAATAATATGAACAATTAAGGTAAGTTTGAGCAGAGGTCACTTCTCTCAGTGTATGTTATATAAACATTCTACCCTTGATACCACTACTCAAAAAGGAATATTTAAATGATGAGACAGTGTTTGTTACTATCAGAATGTGGTCTTGCAATATATAGCAGGACTGACTTTGAAATCCTTGCTTTGGGTTCTCAATATAATTTTGTGCCACCTTGGGTGCTGTGCTAATTGTGCTTAACTGGTTTCTAAAATACCATAATATTTTTTACTAAAGAAGGGTTTCAAATTGCATCTGCAGCCAGTATTTTGTACAAGGTAATGGAGGCAAAGCCAGTGTTGCTGTCAGCCTCCACAATCTCCCAGCCCTCTCTCTCTGTAGCAGCACTGTGGGCACGGCTGCAGGAGAACAGAGCTGTGTCCCCGGGCTGGAGCCGAGCAGCAGAGGGAGCTGGAGCCAAGCTCAGCTCCTGTGCTCGGAGCTGGGGGTGCCCCGTGTCCCTGATCCTGCTGCCCTAGAGCTGGAGGCATGGGAGAATGCCCAGGCTGAAGCCTTGCGTGGGGCAAGGCAGCACACAGCCTCTGCAGGAGATAAGAATACTGTTTCTGATAAAATTCTCGGGTTTTGCAGTAGTGAGCCTGTTGGTTAGAGCCAGCCAGTTACACTGGCTGCGTCTGGTCCTGCCGTGAATCTCCCAAACAGATTCTCGTCTTGAGACGTGACTTTCTTGCCAGCTGGGGGGAGTGCAAGAAAAGCTCTCCCTTTGGAGCAGATGCCAACATAAAGTCACAGAGCACTTGGCAGAGAGCAGTGATACGAAGAAGGAGCCAACATTCTCCCCCTGGAGGCTCAGTACTATTTATCTTCCCTGGGACTTGCCCAGCTCCTCTGGCTCTGAGCCTGGCATTCCAGGTCAGCTCTGCTGAGGCGGGCTATGCCCACTCAGTGTGTGTGAGCACAGACTGCCGTGTGTGCCCTACACACTGCGGAGGGCCCCTCGCTTTCCAGCCCACCAACCATTGTGGAACACACAGAGCTACTGCTGCGGGTGCAGGGTGGCTCCAAAACTCATAACAATGCAGGCTCTCTCTGTAGCTGGCTAGATTAAAACTAGTGGCAGAACGTCCTTGCCATCTGACAGCTGTTCAGAGGCATATGGTAGTTTCAGTCCAATTCCCAGCTGACAGGCGTCCCCATCCCAAACACAATTGGCACTGGCTCTTGGCAGTCACGGCAGAGGGGATGAGCGCTGAATGGGCAGGGGCAACGAGAGGCAGCTTCTTGCCCCATGAGAGGGAGACAGAACTGGGAAAATGCTATGAAACTGCCAAAGTTGATGAAGCTGAATTTCTTTCTCTCTTGCAGTAAACATTATCCTTCCTACTCGCTGAATGTTGCCTCCATGTGGCTGAAATTAGGGAGACTGTACATGGCACTGAAGAACAGGACGGCTGGAGTTAAAGCCCTGAAGAGGGTATTTATTGCTTGGTTTCTCCATTAATAACACCAGTTCAGCCATGGGGCTGTTGAAACACTGTGTGGTTCTCTGTCAGTGAGCCTGGCGTGGTAGGAAATGCACCATGTTAATATACATTCAGTCACTGGATTTTTAGCTCAGATTCAGTTTTTCTAGGAATGGAAGATGGGTCTGCTCTTGGGTGCCTTTTCACAGTGGGCTCATGCTGCAGCAGCTGGAGTGAGAATTATGCTTAAATATTTGCTCTGAGTTCTTCTCTGAACTAGAGCTGCACTAGTGTAAATGAAGCGGAACCCTATCTTCCCCTCGTTTTTTTGGGTAAGGACAGGAAAAATGCTTGGCTCGTTTAAAAGGCACATAGTGTTTCATTGAAGTCTGTGATTTCTATATCCAACTTAAACTAGGCATGGTTTTGGTGGTTATTTTTTCTGGAACCAATCAATTTTTACATAGCTGAAGGGAATTCAATGCATCTGGTAATGCTGAAATTGGCAAATACAGCATTTTGGTTTTATGTTTTTCTTCACCCCTTTTCATTCGTTTGTTCCTTATTCTTTAGTTTTTTATTGTTATTTTTTTTTTAGTCTATACTATGTTTCTTGACTATTTTCCCCTATTGTTGTTGGGCAGAAGTTTATTTTAGTTTAAGCATCAGTGGCTACTGTAGCATATAATGACTCAGTGTGGAATGTCACAATGTATTTATTTCTTCTTGCGTTTAAGATGCTGGCAAGTTTTTCACCATCAAATAACAACGCCATCCAACCATAGTGAAAGATGCTAGAAGAATATATGTTCTAAAATTTAACTGTTTCCTAGTTTGAAATTGGCATAGGTTTTCCTTCTCTGTGGTGTTAAACCCTTGAGTAGAAATAGGAATTGTGCCAGTAGGAGCATGGGATGGGGGAGTAGGGAACTGTGAGGTAAATTTGTTGGCATAGTTAGTTTCCTAACACAAACATTGTCTAATGACTCACTTCCAAAAGCTGTCTGCAGGAACTGCTCAAAGTTATCCCAGCCTTTGATGTTTGGGATTTAGTGGAAAAGCAAGCCCATTGTTGCCTGTCAGTTTGTGAGCAGCTCATCCAGAAGGTCCTCCTTTCTTTTTTTGGGCAGTAGGCGGGGTGGAGTAATTTCTTGCTGCTGAGGTGGAACCAAAAGCCCTTGTTGTTAACAAATACAAGAGCATAAAGCTTCCTAAGGATGAAATGACTAAACGCTCAGGGGCCAGGATACTGCAATTCCTTGCTGTCTTAGCACTGTTGGGCTTTAAACATTCTCAGACTTACACTGAACTTTTTTCTCAGCTCTGTTGAGTGCTGCCTTTTATCACATCTTTTCTTGAGTGAAAATTTTGCCCTGCACACACTCCAGGGCAGGAAAGGCGCTAGTCAGGGTTTGGCTACCTGCAGCATTCCCTCTCAGGCCTGGAGCAGGCTGCAAACAGGTGAAACACCAGGGAGCTGGGTACAGCAGCCTCTGTCTGAATCTTACGGGATCTCACTTTTGCCTAAGAAGTTGCTTCCTTCCTAAAGCATTGGCAGCCCCTGGAAGGAGCAAAGGGTTTACAGACTCAAGTTTGAAATGCCCCTCAGCATTACTCCTGTGCTAAACCTTCATGTCTCTGACAGCTTAAGGATAAATTGGTAGGAGCAGAGCTTGCTCAGATACTGGCTAAGTCCTCTGCTGGAATATTACCCACCACACTTGCAGTTTTCTGTCCTGGAGCTGGTTACATTCAAAGTAGTTTTGTCAGGAATATAATTTTGAAAGGTGCTTTGGGCTCCTTTAAGATCAAAGATGTATTCTCTGAATATAAAACCTTTATTACTTAGTTTTGAATTTCATTTTATTTCCTACTGGGTTTATGACTACAAGGGGACAAAAAGTAGCTAGAGGTGTCAGACTGCTTCAAACCTCTAAAGAGAGTATTTATAGCCTGGTGTTATATATGAATCAATTGTGTGAATATTTTTTTTTCCTTTTCATAGGCAATTGCTATCATGGAAGTAGCACATGGGAAAGATCATCCATACATTTCAGAGATCAAAAAGGAATTAGAGGACCACTGAGCCTTTGAATCTATGCAATCCTTCAAACCTTTATTTAAAAAGCCTTGTTATGGAAACCTTCAGGAGCGCTTTGAAAAGCGGTAGAGTATGAACACAGTTCTGTCCTATAATTGGAATGACAAACACACTTAGGCCTAGCTTCCACACATCTACAATTGCCTTTTTTTTTTCTTTTTTTTTTTTAAGGAAGCATCCATGGTTTCTTAAAGGTTATGCCTTTTGCTGGCTCATGTGCAAAAATGGCCATTTTTTTCTTTAGGGATGTTGGTGTGGATCTTATTTGTATGAAGTAAATAAAACGGTCTTGGTCACTCTTGATTCCGCTTGTACACTTAAATGGGTGCAATAGGTTTGTGATATGTACTTTTGCCCAAATAGTTTTGCTTACTCTGACAAATTAGCAAAAGCCCTTTTTCTGTTGTGGTTTGGTATCTTTTTCCTTTTTTTCTTGCATTATTTTTATTTGCAGTGGCTTAACTGAGAGAGAGGGGAAATGGGGTGATGAATTCTGTGGATTTTACAGCAATGCCACCAGTGTTCCCTCAACCAGTTAATCTGCAGGTCCATCACTGTTCCTGGCAGATGAGGATTCATCACAGCAAAGACCTAGAGCTCAATTTGTCTTGTACAGAAAATACTGACACCTATGTTGGAGCTTGAAGGCTTACACAAGACATGAACTATGCAATTTCTGGCTTTTTAGACTCCTTTACAAGTTAAAGTGAGTTATCGCAGAGGAGAGCTCATATTTCCTTACAGCCATACCTTCACCTCCAGTGGATTACAACTGTTGTAATCATATTTATTATAATTATTGTAATAGCAATTATTTCTGAGAGGTACAGGAATACTTTCTGAGGAGAAAGTTCAGGACTTAGCTTTCTCTACCCATATGTAAAACAAGAGGATTTTTTCCCCTCCTTTTAGATCAATGGTAAGAATTTACTTTTAAGGATGGGGGGAGAAAAATAGTGTAGCTGTAAACTTCTAGCATCAAAATTGAAATATGGTGCACAATAAAATTACCTGCCCTTTTTTTACAGTTTTCACAGCTTATAAAGTATGATGAGAAAGAACACATCACCCTTAAGAACTTCATTGTATTTTCTTTCTTGTAAGCACTGCTCTGAAAATAAAAGTGCTGGAATAAGGGTTTGTCAGCTCATTTTGCTGAAATCTTTCATTGCTCTCCAGCCAGCAGTTGTTGCTGAAGTACATAAAACTGCACCAGATCTACAATTCCAGAAAGCCAAGGCCCTTTAACTGTAGCCAAGCCTAGGAAGAGGGCACTAGCTGACTGTTTTTGTCCTAACTTTGTCTTGTCAAATAAACTCTTGTTCTGGGAAGTAATACCTTTACTTCAGCAAGTCTGTCCAGAGCCTAGACCACACTTCAGCACCAAAGAATTGGATTAGGTGAACACAAGGCACTAGTGGGAGCCTTGCCCCTGTGACACTTGGATTACTATTTAGAGAAGGCTATTCAGAGCTTACTGTGGCCCTGGCCGTGTCTATCAGTTTAACATAGGAAACCAACTCAAGCAGTGTAGCTGCAAATACAAAACCCTTAAGCTGATACAGAAAAGAATACAAAGAGTTTTCATTGAAAAAAATGGTTTATTGTATACTGTGAATATGAGGGACAGCCTTACCAAAAAAATCTTAGTCACTGAAGACATTCTCACATTTGCAAAAGCATATAAGAAACTATTTACAAAGGCAGTGAAAGGGGTAAAAAAATTATTGCAGTCAATTAATGCTGATAGAACTTTTTTATTATAAAAAGAGAAAGAAAAGAAACAGTGCAAAAATACTGTCAAAAGTAATCAGTTCTATACACAAGATAAAACTGACAAGCATAAGCTTATGTACTGATATGAATAATACATTAGAATATAAAATAGCATGCATAGATTTTTCTTTTTAAAGGCTTTCAATAGCATAGAATAGTTTTGCCATTCAGCCCTAACAGGAGGGGTTGGGGGCACGAAGGGCACATAACTGATGTCTCATTTCTCTACAAAATGTGTCCATACAATGAGGTGGTGAGATTCAGATCACTGTTTTGTGCTAAACTGTCAGGTACAGAATTACAGAACAAATAAAACAGGAGGCATGACAATACTGAAGTAAAACAGGACAGTAAAATCCAGTGACATAAAACTTAAACATATTATCTTATTTAACACATTCCACACAATAGCATATGGGAATATTGCAATCATCTGCATGTGTAAACTTTTCCTTTGTAAAGTAACCAAAGAAAGATATTTTACCTAGTGAGGAAAATGTGTTTTCCATATGGAGCAACCTCAACAGGATAAACATCCCATTACCAGTGTTTCTGGCATTACAGATTTACTTTCTTTTAAAGACCAAGCAGAAGCAAGAAAATGCTTTTATTTAGCATACACGAAAAGGAATTTCTTATATGTTACATCTGTAAGTTGTGGAACTCACCAGCACAGGACATTGTGAAGGCCAGAGGAATAAACATCTTCTAAAGAGAAGGTAATGTGATTCATGGAAGATGGATCCATCAGTAGGTACTACACACAGTGAGTGGGATACAGCTTTGGCCTCAGGAAGCCCCTAAAGGACTGGCTGAACATCCTTTCCTAGACACATCCCTATTCCTCAACTACCAGCCACTGTCTAAGTCAGGGGGTGCTCCCCAACCAGACATGAAAACAGTTTGTGGGAAGCGTTCCTTCTTTCTGCCTCTCTGACTAATCAAGGAACACTACCCTTGAAATACCTGGAACTGACTGTTCAACCACTGAGTCTTCACCTTACCCAGGTGAATCGGTGGCAGTCCTTCACTTTCTGGGAATAGTGCTGGAATTCTCCTGTGGAAGCTCCTATTTATCACTGATTTCCAGTTTGCTCTCCAAAGGCAAAGTCCTTTATAAGGATATATTTATAAGATAAAGCATGTGGGAAATTCTCAAGTGAGGATGCACATAAAGCACAGGCAATAAAACTTCAAAGAAGTGCCAGCCAAAAAACAGCTGAGAGAAACCAATGGAAGTGTAATCTAAGATACTCCAAAAAACACTGGCTAAATTTAGCTACTTTAAATATTTATATAAACACTGCTAATTTTTACCTGTGCACTGTTTTGTTTCACAATCTAATGACAGTTTATGGTTAATACCTCCATCTTGTTTGCCCCACAGTCATCTGTTGCCTTCCTCCAATCCCAATCCCTGCAAGCAGCTGCAAGTATAATGTCCTTCTCTAAAGACTTTAGATGGCATCTATAGCTCCCTTAGCACCAGATCCTACAAGAAAACCTCCCTGGAAGGCTAAGGGCGAGTTGGGGACAATTGCTTTTGGGGTTCTGGACTTGCAGCCTTTCTCTTACTGGAATCAAACCCTATCCCAAATTCCATATGCCTTGAAGTATACATCAGTAGCTTTATATTCATTTTGTAGAAGAGTGGTCAAAGGCTGTTTTCATGCAGCCCTTCCTCTCATGGCTAGCTCAGGAATTTGCTCCTGCAGTGTGATGCAGCTTTTATTTCCTGCAATGGCTGCCACCCTAGCATTTTTTTATCCACGAAGATAAGCAGCAAAATTTAACTCAGCCCTCCCTCAGTGATGCATGAGAGCTGCTACAGCAGAGTCAGCCTGATGATTCCACTTTCTGAGCACACAGACCACAAACTGTTAGCGAGGCTAACAGCTAATTCAGTCATCATCTCCTCCCAGGAGACCAGTGGGAAGTCGGCTGTTGGAAATGCAGCATTGTCAGTAGCTCTGCTGAATCTTCCCTACAGAATTCTGTGCTATATCCAAGTACAAGATTTCCCATCAACATTTCTTGTAGAGTTGCTTGTGGACTACACAGGTATAGCAGGTGTTGGATCAAAAAGTAATGTCCTGGCTGACAATGACAAGTGCTATTAAAGCACAGATGTTGGAAAAGAATGAGTAAGTCTATGTTTTGCCATTTGCATTTCTGTTTGTTTACAATAAAGTAATTTAAAAAAACCCAGGGTTTGAAATCATGCAAATATTTAATAATATTTGTAGCTGAGGCAGCTGATTTAAATAAGTAGAAAAGAAATGCACTTCAATATACTTCAAGAACTGTGCTGGCAATAGTTTAAGTTCTCAGAGGTGTGTCTTCTGCCAGCTAAAATTAGTTTAGGGGAATTTCTGATAAGGCTGAGCTTTTAGGATCCCTGTATGCCTATGTAAGAAAATATTTGTGGAAACCAGCTTCTTCTTTCCTCAGGTAGTCAAGGACAAGAGGTGCTAAAATAAGCCTTTGTAGGACCTGAAACAAGTAGGACCTGAGTAGCTGATGTCCACCGTCCTCCAGTGTGGCTGATGGAGGACAGAAACCAGATCCCCACAGCACTGAGCAGTGTCACGACTCAGCTGTCATCTCTCCCATCCCTGCTTGAACAATGGGAAGCATGAAATGCTCAGACCATAACTTTAACCAAAAAGCTGATGCAAACACCTCAGTACTATAGCTGGTAAGAGTTTAAATTAAAAAGGCAAAGGTTGTTAAATACAGAAGAAAAGTGTACTAAAAGGAAAACAGACACAACGGATGCTCAAGCCAGACTTAATCATTTGCAGCAAGTTCTCTTTGAAAGCATCATGGAGTGTAGGCTGAACATACCAGATTGTAAGGTGGGTGTCCTGGGAGAAGACTGCTTGGGTCAAAATTCCAGTCACTGATGATTCATGGTGAGATTTTCAATCCAGACTTTACTCCAAATGGATGAAACTGTTTTCAAACTACTGTTTTGCTTTGACGTTAAAAAGCATGCAACACAACAAACTCCAAACTGTTGTTTTCTTCTCAAGGGTTCTGCTTTTTAAAGTCTGCAGGACAGAAACTAAACAGCACTGTTGCTTTAAGGCTCATGTGTTCATTCCTGCTATGACTAAGAAAATTGGATGCAAAGTGCATTTTCCTGTCACTCCCTAAAGGTTAGGAAATACTGCCCAAATAATTTTGGCCTGATAAAACTACAACAGGTTCAAAGTGAGAAGGTTCATTTTTTCCCTTACAAAACTGTATCACATTTCAAGTATAAAACATCAGCATGCTGAGGGCTGCTTGTAAGCTGGGGTGGAAAGGAACCTCTGAAGACATGCACCAGCCCAATTCACTTATGATATTAACAGATCTAGTCAAGATAAAATCTAGCAGGGAAAAATACATTGAAGTCAGATGAAAGGAAAAGTTTAAAATTACCATTCTTTGACAATGAAAGGGAAAAAGTGACTCACATTGGCCTCTATCTACCACACCAGCCACATTAGGAGTTAATTGGAAATGACTGTTTACCACAT